TCCCGACCGTCGTCTGAATCTTCTAAAGTGACCTTTGTCAGGCTGTGTTTCATAAAGGTATACTAGGTAGGCATTGTGAGTGTCTTCGAGACCCGAGTGAATAGATCGCTTATGTTCAGACGTGCTCAATCGTAGACCGCATCATTGCTTACCACTAGGCGAAATAGTGGATAAACGTCGGCCCATCAAATAAAAAAAAACAAACTGCGATCTGCAATTGGTCAGCCAAACATGGAGATTAAGCGAGTTGATAGAAGAGTCCTATAATTCAGGGCAGACAGTTAAAGGCTGTCTTTGAATATGATGATGATATCCCATTTTTACAAAAATACACATTTAGCAGTTATATTTGCAGCATGCCTACATCTTAATCAATTCTTTGAACCAAACTATTACGATTAGTTAACTCAAAATAAATTCGTTAATTTATAAATTAGTATTTCTGCAGTTATTAATCACTTATAATAGGTAAGTAGGTCAGGAATATTGCCGTACGCCGGCCGGGCACTCGTCCAGACTCCGAGTCGAAAATTTCGAAATCAAAATGCCTAATAATACTTTACTTCAGTTTTATAACTACATATACACTGAATCTATGATACTGAATCTCAGTAATAACTTAAAAATTTTCTTAATGAAACTCATGGTTTATATTAATATGAATAACAAATAAAAGCCTTAGTTTGAATTCTCTCAAAACTCTCATAAGAAAATAAAGGTCATAAGTTATATTATGAGTAGCCACAGACAAAGTCATCTTTATTGAAAATAGCTTCTTCTTTTATGCCAATTCTTTCTTTCCGCCCTGATCTCAAAGAACTCAAGATCTTTGGGAAACATAAGACTTCAAAGTTGCCATAATATAAATCTTCTACATCCATTCTCTTCAATCAGTTATTACTATATCACAAACTCTTTTTTTAATCCCCATTCAGGCACATCACATTAACCAAAAGAATGCAGCTCAATAAAACATGTACAAAGTAGACACTTACTTTAAGAACTCAATAACTTTAAAAAGTAAACATTCACTTGACACATCTATTTTAATTGGATCTTTAACAGAAAACTTGTTTTATGTCATAACATAACTGTTGGACGTCTGCCTCACTACTGCCTTTCACATAATACACACAACTCCACCGTAATGACAAAACTATTCTTTGAAAATGTTAATGCTACTTTAATAGTTGTTATAAAATGGTCAATTAATCAAACTGTTTACTTCTCTGTAAAGCTAAACTTGGGAGTCAATTGAGCTTCGAAGAAATCGGGATAGGTAATAATAGAAGTTATTGAAAATTCTAAGTATTGAAGTTTAAAATATTATGTACAATTTTCTAGAAACTTTAGACATAATGCATGTAATTATTCCCAATTATACATTTAATGCTAGTATAATAAAATAAAATACGAGTACCAACAAAATTCGTTATGTCTCCGGACACTGATGGAAAAGATTCGTGTCTAAATCACATTATCCAATGGATGCTTAATACTCTTCTCAATATTAGTTCCATGTAATAGGTTTTTACCGCCACCAGCACGTTAAACAAAAATAGGAAAATTTTCAACTTTATTACAAGTCTATAAAGCTAGGAATCTATTAAAGAAACGTTACATATTGGAGTAGTTAACTTGTACAAGTCAGGAAAATTCTAAGAAGTTAATAATTATAATTCTATGCAACACTTCGATATTAAAAGCACGTAATGTAAACTATACTACAAACACAGAAATAACACACGATACCGCATCCAAATAACACATTCGGTACACGATTTTCAAAATAACACGTTTATTTATTTGTTTATATGTGTTTAACGGAAATTTTCATTCACAACACACAATGAATTGAAAGTTTAGAAATCTTGTGAGTCATTTTATTTCACTTTGTCTCCGGCTTCTAATATTAACTTAGAATTTCCCAATCGACACACTTTAATGATGACTCAGAGAGGAAAATCATAATGTCATTTAAATATTATGTCATTTGTCTATTTAAGAGTTAGTACATATTTATAGAACATTCTCACACCTGTTACGTAGGAGTAGATGCAATAAGACATTAATTAAAAGACTAGTGATTTCATTGCTAATATTCTTTGATTTTCAGAAGTTGGCTATGATTTTGCCATCAGAAACTTATTAATTAGGTATTAAGTCTACCAAAACCTAGAATATCTTAACCAGTCATAACAGGTTCTCTCAAAGGTATAGAAAGAGATACACGTTACGAAAGATATCCTCCATTTTCACCTGTTAAATAGTAAAGTAAGCCCCAAGTAATAGGGGATGATACCGATAAAATAGTAAATAAAAATAAAGAAAGGTAATCCGAAACCTCGAACTGACCCACTTGGTGAATGTAAATGCCAACAAATCACATTGATTCAGAATCTATAAGAGTATCGAATGACATCATTGATGAAGCCATATCTATAACAGTCCTCATCGTCCGCTACTAAGCTCCTACAAATGGTAATTCGCTGCACTATACACGAATTTACAACTGTTTTTTAATGAAAGGAAATCGCAGGTAAAGAATACTATATAAGTATCTAGTAGTCATTTAACTATAGATAAATAAGTAGTGAATATTTTTAAATGGAGGTGTAAGGTTTAAACACATAAATAATTTCCATATAGAATACGGAACTTAAACTCTACAGCTACCTATATTTCTAAAGCAAGAAAACAGTAAGTAATCAGGCGCAAAATATTGCAACTAAGGCAATAATTAGACTGGCCAGTTAGAGCAAGCATAATACAGACTTCAAGTCTTTAAAGCTTCGAATTAAACGTCCACATCCCAGTAACTTGTAGTGCATAATTAACTTCGACGGTAATTAGATAGGCAGATAGACTTCAACAAGTAAACGTCTATACGAGGTAAACCCAACATAGTCATTGAGTCACATTCGTATCATAACTGGTTTTTAAGCGTATCCGTCAATGAGTTATAGATACCTATTTACTTATTTGCATAGGTACTAAGAACCTTATGCAACTCGTTTCTATATTTAAAACTAAAATTGCAAATGTATGAATCGATAGAGGCGAACATTTATAAATTTTTAATAATTATTTTTTACTGCCCGCGGATTTTCTAAGATTACAACCAGACGCTAAGACACTAGCATCAGCATTTTCTAAAAATTTCAATCAAATAATCCCCGACTCGCTCGCCAAGCATGGGGGTTATGGCAAATCCTCTCTTAAGTTTTTTGTTTTACCGTAAATGTATTCCGGTTGATGATGACGACATAATTTTAAACATTCATGAGTCATTCTTTTAAATGTCATTAAGTTTTAATCAGCAAGCACTATTGATGACTTCGAGGTACTATTAAGTACCTATTAAAAATTCCAATATAACGACCAACTTAAGCTCTTGCTTAGGTATGACGTCATTTTTATAGTGAAGTCATTGCAACCTTCTCCTTGTTTTCACTCATGAGATATGCATATATATAATATACTTACACCAGTAAAGATAATTTTAGCCTAATAATATGCAAATAAATACGAACACAATTAATAGTTTATAATAGCAACAATATATACCATTCAAAACAAGATTAATGTTTACATGTGTGAACACGTTTGTGGAGGCCGTTGACCTACCGACATTGGAAAATGTCCTACACCGGATACGTCATTTTGTTTCACGATTTTCTTTTAAAACTATGCATCAATTTTACTCAAAAAGAATAGAAGTTGGATAGCGCATTTATCGAGGATGGCTATAGGCTATAAAACATCACGGTACGACCAACAGGAACTGAGCAGAGCGTGTGAAACCGCGCGGACGTAGCTAGTAAATTATATGACGTATACAAACAAGCAAGTATGATATAACAATCACTAAACATTGGCGATATCTTTTCTATTCTTAAAAGTTTACAATTTCAGTCATGTCACAAAATGAAATCAATCTTATAGAAACCGATTGAAAAGTAACATTATATAATAAATGTAGATAATAATAAATAAGTATAATAGTCAAATAAAACATACGTAAATATTATACATTGTTAAACTGATATCATCGACACAGTTTACGCTCGACCTGCTAGTATTTACTTCCGTACACTTTAAAGTAATTGTATACAAACGTATCACATTACCTTTGCAATCATACCTGTTTATTAGCTCATTATAATAAATTATTTAATGTAACTAGTTCAAGTTCGTCCATTAAAATAGGGTAATTAACCCACGCTTTTGTCCGGTGGAGCCGAAGAAATTATAAAGCGCCACCTACGACCAATCTTTATAGAAGATCTTCGGGTAAAAATATTAATTGTATGCATGTTCTATCAAAACTCAATCTTGAAATTTTGTATTAGTCGTTATTACCATCCTTACATACCTTTCACCTACATTTATACATCTATACATCTCATTTATACATCTGTGCATACAAGCACGCCAGTTAAGAGTACTCAGCACGAAGTACCGCAGTACTTATTCATTCATAATCGCACACTCCACTGCTAACTGCTTCGAAGCCAGCAAAACAAAATAAATACAAAGCTATGAATGACTTCATCCCGCGCATACAATATTAGAGACAAACAAAACAAAGGTAAACGAGAAAAAAACATGCAGGGAAGATCAAAGCTAGCGAGGGTCTTATGTCCTTTTTTAATGATATATTAATATTCGTCATGTTTTTCGATAGGTACGATTTTTATTTCCAGTAAAGTGTGTGTATATGTTGGAGGTCTAGTTTTGTAAAATTGATTATCTATATATATATTGATCCCATGTAATAGGTTCAACACTTAATACACTCGGTACCATTTCAGGCCCCGTTTTATTTCCGAAAGTTTTTGAAAACTATCCAAACCGGTAAACAGTTGACCTCTTGCCCGGTAGTTGCACTTACGACTACGAAGCATTCAAGAGAGACGTACCCAGTTAGTAGGTAGTACCAGCGAAATTCCATTGACACTTAGAGTATATGAGATGTGATATTAAGGTGTACGATTCACCGCAGTGGAATGCTAAGGCTGTGGATTGGCCGAGCCGGTCCCGCACCGCAAGCGATCTGCTCCCGCGCCGTTCCCGCGCATTCTTGCCGCGAGCCGCGAGGTGAACAACCGGCGCGCACGTCGTCGTCCTTGGAGCCGCGTGCTCCTTTCTACACAGCCTCCATCAACCAAGGGTTACCACATTTCCGCTGGAACTGGATGCTGGACACATCTAGTCCGGTTCTCTACCGTCCAATTAACGATGGTAATTACTGTGGATATGTGAACTCGCTCGGCTTAGTTGCAGTTGCTTTTTACAATCATAGAAATGCGTTGGTTGCTTTGAATTATGTGGTTAATGAGCTTTACAGTGTGATTCAAATAAACTCTTGATCTTCAAAAAGATCACCTGAAGTATGTCGTTTGACAACCCTAGTGGGCCGCTGGGCCTGGCGTGGTTAGATAATTCACATGTCAGTGGTAAACTGTAACCCGAGTACCGTGACTGAGGAGAACTCTTTGTGCGTACAACCGTGCGGTTTGCGAGCTTTTCTCACATCCACGAAACATGATCCGAAGGAATTTCGCGTAGAAACGTAAAATTCTCATCCTACACGTGGAATCTATTTGTCAAAGTCATTTAGTACTTGGAATTTTCGACTTCCATTCACAAAAATCATAAGCGTGAAGAATAATTCTCTTATTATTAACATTACTTTCTACAAAATTCATGATAGGCAAATAAAATACATTATAAACACGAAAACCAATCACATTCCCAAATAAAAATATAATCAACAAATCAGTCTGTTAAAGCGCTCAATTTAACGGATTAAGCAATTATATTTTTATGCTAATATTCACGGCACACTAACTGCTTTCTACCTACTAATAATCTAGGCACCAGACCTCGTGGAAAAATTCTGTCATTCTTTGAATATTTCAAAGTAAAAAGTTGAATGAAATCTTTGTGAAATCTGAGCAATTCGTAACATTACAAAAATAGTGGCTGTATTTTGCTGATTGTATTCTTTGAGCGGTTTACGTCGTTATAAATTTTCTTGTCTTTAAAGCAAAACACGTCTGTCTGCATAATGTTCAGTTACAACTATTTCAGGAAAGTGTGCCCGCCCGTGGAAGAGGGGTGATTAACATTAACGCGTGAAACTCTCAAGACACAGTCGCTCAACTTCAATTAGGACTGAATAATTAAGTGGCAATCACCCAATTACCCGCTGTTTGTAAACTAAACGTTGCCTTAACATTTTATGGACATTGTACCGACCGGCAGAGCATGAAAACTTGACAAAGAGAGTCCACAATAAGTTGTGTTTTTATTGTCGCGATTGTACGCAGCCCGTGCCGCCGCCGCTGCGCGCCAGTATAGAGTTACTGCGTTACAGGTCGGAACTTCAAACAAAAAAGGCGATGTCTGTCTCCTCCGAGTTCACTAAACCAAAAACAATGGGACAAAACCAGAAATGAACGGTAAATGTTTGTTTAACGAAAAACAAAAGAATGTAACAAGTAAGAATCCTGTGTAATCAAAGAGTATTTACTTTCGTCTCAAACACGGCCTCGTTTATAGGAACTTTATTAGTGACTTAAAGAGGTTAACGGTACTTCAGGTTAATGGCGTATTACTGAGATACTCTTACAGTGTACATTAAGCTTTATTACTTATCCATTACAGAATTATGTAATTTAAAGTGATAATGCTTTCATAACACCGTATCATTATAATTCATTTTGTTTTAAGAGGCGGCCATTGTAAGAATTATGTGGAATGATCAACAAGAAGATGAAGATTCAATGCTTTACATTATAAATTAAATATTTTTATTAACTTTGAACAAGAAACATCTGATCAGGTAAGTACAGCAAAAGAAGAAGGGACAGATAGACCCAATAATGCAGTAGGTGATACAAAATCTTGCTAAAGGCAAAGTTGGAACAAATAGCTAAAGACAAATAAATACAGCCAATCAAGTTTAATTGCAATTTCGCAACATTCTTAACTTATAAAGGCTTTAGTTGTTATCTAATGTTAAACGAAGTCATTGAATGAATTTAATTATGATGCAGGTCTACCTTGAGCCTATTGACACCGAGTGTTGCAAAACTTTATCATAAGCTTGAGGTATCTACTGACAAATAGTGACCTTTATTTAGACAAGGCTTAGAGATTTCAAGATATTTATTTGTTAATGGTACACAAACAATGAGATGATTAAAGATTGGCTAAAGTGTTTTAAAAGAGATAGTAAAGATTGATAAGTACAGGAACGTAAGGTTTTCGTTTCTGCTAATGTCATTATTTAAGACATACCTAAGTCGTTGGGGAATGAACTGGAAAAAAGGGACCAAACTTAGGGTTCTTAGGGTTAAATACAACTTTTATAACCTTCGCCAGTACCATGAAACTCTAAAACTCTGACCTATTCAAACAATTAAGAAATTCCAATAATACCTTCGAAGTCACATATCAACATCAGAATCGATTAGCTAGGCTCAGGTTTCTAGCCGGTCTTGCAGAGTTTTATAGAGTTATCGATGTATCGACACGGATGCGCCGGCGACGTTCATGTGGGCTTTATCAAAATCCATTAACATACCGAACTAGCTCCATTTGGTAAACTGGTTCACAAGAATGAAGCCGTATGCTCTCCAACTCGTCTGTTCAACTGTAAAAAATATTCTAGCGACTTTTTCTATTTAGCTTTCTCTAATATTATCTGCTTTTTAATACAAAAAATGTCTTAGATATAGTGGATTTGGAATGACGGTGAATTTTCATATGAAATGTTTAAGATTTTCTAATTTATACGTTACAATTTTGTATAAAAAATATACAATAACGGAAGCTTGTTACAATGTTTATTTAGGAAGCCTTGAAATCAAATGTCCTCTTATTAGAGCACCAGTAAAACTTTATCAGCAAAAAAGTAAAACACTAACCCATACACAAACAGAAAATACAAAACTAACGACAATAATTTGAATTAAAAAAAACCGTTAAACACCTCACAGAATTATTAACACCTATAGAAATGACGGATCTAATATAATTCTGCGTGGGAGTGAAGCTTTATGCTTTATGTTCAGTATGCAGGCACATGTTAAGCACCCCACCTTGATGACGTCACTCCACTGTCAATGCTACGTGATTGATTGCACCGTCAATGAACATTGATTTGTCAAATTGTCAATGATAAGATTTTTGTCTATGGAAACGCAAATATTTTTGGCATTTTCCTAATATTTTTCCTTAAGAATAGTATTGTTTAGGTGGTAGTAGTTCTTACGACTTAGTTATATTGAAGGTATCTCCAAAATGTAAACAAAGGTAACATTTATGACTTAACAATATTTCTCGTAAAATCTTTCTGTAATAAAAATATTCGTACATCGTAAGAAAACCAGCACCTATAAGAAACACATAAAACACACCTGCGTTTTGTCAATTTGAATTTGAACCTATTTTTGAGTCCGATGACGCTAATGACTAGTATAAAAAGAGACTAATTTGAGTAATACTTTGCCATGATTTTGCCATACAAAAATAAAGTCAAAATCATTCATTTCAAATGGTCCAGGAAGGAAATTTTGAACGTCAAACAAAATATAAAAAATTTCGATCTATTGATCAGTCCTCTAGTGAAGCTATTTGCTCGTTCCAAAGTCTAGATTCCTATGGAGAAGAACAAGCCACAAACACCATTAGGTTACTCTTTTTAATTCAGGTTCACAATCACAATACAATTCTTGGTTACATTATTTCGTTCACAGAACAGAGAAATACTTCGTTGATTGTGAAACAGGCTTTACATAATATTATTTTATTCTTAAACATATCATACATAGGTACAAAACGTGTCTGTATTGTACCTATCTACCTCTATTAACGTCCATCTAGTACCTATATCGCATCGTGAACAAGAATCGTGATTAAGTTACCTAGGTACTCGTTATCTCTCCACGGAGACAGACGGACAGATGAAATATCCGTCTACATATTATTATGATATGGTATGCACACGCAATCCATTAGCACGTAGACATAAACATACAGAAATTGTTTAAAACATCTCATTACAACACTGACTGCTTGTTTATACTGCAACTGAAATATTATTCCGTGGAGTAAAGAAATTTATTTTGTGGGCAAGTAGTGTGGATTACGAAGTATTATTTTTTTTGTTTTGTCATGGTGATTTTGATTGCTAGTTAGTTGAATGGTTTTTTTAAGGGGTGAAAATCATCTATTGGCTGCTCTCACCTGGGTGAGGCAGGAGGTAGTGTCAGACTCTTACTGACTAAAAACCACCCCGTTCCTTCCCCTGCACGTCGAGCCGGAGCCCCGGTAACCCGTTAGGTTTTCCGCGACTAGTTGAATGGTTGCAAGTGCTATTGCTTAGTTCGGTTCTCACGTCGGGTCAAGTACAATTAGGATTTTTCAATTTTCGGTAAATTTCGCACTTGGTTTGGAATTACTCGCCCATTTTGACCTGATACATGGTACTCATTATCTATTGGCGAAAAATATGGATGTTCTGTCCTATGTATAAAATATTTGCACCTCTGACAATAGTCTGATAAACTTGCATTGATCTCAATAAACTTGCATGTTGTCGAAAACATCTGTATGCGACAATTAAATGTAGAACAAATTACATCGAACATTGAGTCGCCCACTTAAGTAAATAATGGCAATGGTATGCAAGGACAACTTGACCGAGCTATGTACTTGTATTTATGTAATACATAATTTATTACAATATTATCTAACACGCGCCTAGCTCTGCGTGATTTTTAACTACTATGATTTATTTATGTACTTAGCTGTGTACAGTCGTTACAAAAACGCTGACTACAAGTTTTGGTGTACGAAAATACTATTACTATTAAGATTATTTATGAATTATATATTAAGATCATTTTTCTAAATACCCTAGTTTATCGGGCCGGTACTTACCTACTGCTTAGCTATGACAAGAGTATATTCGTATTTTATTTAAAAACTAGAAACAAAACAAAAACGCATAGTATGTATGTACACTTCATCTCATAACAATATATGCGTAAATAAAAAAAATCTTTTGCTTTTTTTTTATTTACGCATACATTGTTATAAAAAAACATTAAAAAAAATATTGCATAAAAAACATTT